GATGCTGCAGTAATTTATAAAATCTGTCTAGATCTCCCTTGTTTTGACCTCCCAGATTCTTGGCATTTTCAGCTCTTGTGGATTTTCATTCTTTACTTCCCAGATTCTTTTCTATGGAAAAGGAGGAAGGAAAAAAGAATTTTTAAAGTTTTAAATAATAGTTCAGAATGATTTGTTTTATTTATTTACAAGCAGGCAGAGTTGGGAAGCGGCAATATTGGAATCTAGGCTGAATGATTATTTATTTGATTTTCATTATTTCGAATTAGAAGTTTAATTTTAGATTTTGCATGTCAATTTATTTCAGCTTAATCCAATATTTTTACCCAACTATTAGGAATTGCCAGGAGGCAATTTTTAGAAGATCGGGAGAAGTGTAAATTATATGTGTGTCCATCTATAGATGGATTAACTAACGACAGTTTGTTAGTTGATGACGATTGCTTGACGATTTGATTGTTTATAGCAACGAGGAGAGAGTTTGTTTATCTCCAGTTTAGGACTAAGACTAGCTAACATTAGACGTCTTGTCTTTCATTCTGTATTTGAATCTGTCACTTTTAATGAACTAACTTTTAATATTAGTTGTTCTCATTCTATTATTTTATAATATGTACAAAAAAGTGGCGTAAAGAGCGGAAAACAGAGTTTTTAGGTGTGACTGCAATAATAATCGTGTAGTAAATGATTTTTTGGTGAAGGGTTCATGACAGGTACTTCCGCCATGACACCTTAGAATTCTAGTGGAAAACAGCTTTATATTTCAGTTAATTTGTTTAATTATATAAACCTATTAAAATTATAATATTCGAGTTTTCCACCCTGGAGGATGAATTAAACTTTCGATTGGAACCTAAATTGAAACAAAACATTCATTTTTGACGACGTAATCTGCCAAGAACTTTTTCCTAGTAACTTTCTGTCTTGCTCTTTTCATTTGAACTGTGGTGCGGAAGCGTCACTACCGTAGAGGGAGAATTGGCAATTGGAGAAGGACAAGCCACCTCCCTTTCACAACTTAAAATTGAGTTATAGTAAATCGGTTTCTGTATGCTTCTTATTATTATTATTATTATTATTATTTCCATCTTGCGATTCGTCAAATGTATCTGGCCAGGGATCCCAGGGCTCCGACCCACCTGGGGCCTGACCAGACGGGATTATCCTGCAGGCACCCGACTCCATCAGGTTTGAGGGTGATCCGGGGCTGCAGCCGTTCAGTCATTATTTACAGTCGTCTCAGGATTCGGAGAGAACCAAAGATGACCGCTTTCTGCATACGAGCCGCGAGAATCTCAGCCTGACTACGGCAGACTGGTATTGTTCGAAGCTCTGTCAGAAAGCGGTCCCTTATCCCTCCGAGGGCGCCAATCACCAGGACTATCACGTGCGCTGTGTATGCGTGATAGACCTTTCTTATGACCTCCATGAGCTCTCTGTAGCGTTTCTGTTTACTCTCTTCTTTCGCACGTATATTTGTCTCGGCCGGGGCTGAGAACTCAATGTAATATACGTGCTTGGTGGTATGGTCGAAAAGAGTAATATCCGGCTTATTGTGTTCAATGCGTTGAGGCGTAGAGAGCGGGTAATTCCAAAGAATTTTTGCTCTCTCGTTCTCAACGACTGACTCAATTTTACCAGGCACATAGGGCAGCACTGGTGTCTCGTCTATTCCGTAAGAGTGCCGTAGGTGGTAATACAGCACTCTGAGGGCGGCGTTATGCCGGTGAATGTAGGCTGAGCGCGCTAATATTGGACAAGCCGATAATACATGAAATAACGTCTCATCTACATCACCGTGGCAAACTCGGCATCTTGTGTCCTCGAGTTGCTCGTGCATAACATTACGCCGATAGGCGAGGGTGGAAAATACACCATCTTGGCAGGCCATAATGAATCCTTCGGTCTCAGAGAACAAGCCAGCTGACTTAAGGTATTGAAAAGTCAGCTGGTGTGACAAGTCCTGTGTTTCGAGATGCCGGTAAAACACACCATGTAAGGACTTTGCCACATGTTCGTCGAGCAGTTTCAACTGCTCGGTTGTTTTTATATCGACCTTCTGTTGCCCTCTGGTCAATTGCAAAAGCCTTAGACCGTCTGGGCTGCTAGGGTCGAAAACTGAGCCGAGGTTCTGCGCTGCCTGATATGTTGCTCTATATAGGAACGCATCCCTTCCCAATAGTTCAAAGCTGTTTACGAACTTGAGAAGAAGATCAGAGCTCTCATAGATGTCATAAGCAAGGCCTATCACTAACCTGTCATGTAGACACTCCAAACTTAGTAGTTCACGCCCTCCCAGATCACGGGGAAAGTATAGGCGTTGGACAGAAGATCGCGGGTGATGACTTCGATATAATGTCATCACTTTCCTCGTGATAATGTCCAGATCTTTAAGCTCTTTTCGGAGCCATTTAAGAACTCCGAATGAGTATAGCAAGACTGGGACAGCAAGCATATTCGTGGCTTTGACTTTGTTAGGGCCTGATAATTCAGAGCCCCGTATTCTCTTAGGTCGCCACTTGTACTCACTGCGGAGAGTATCTTTGATGACAGACTCGTCCTGTAAAGGAGATTGTGCCTGTCCTAGATATCGGTATGACTCTCCAGCATCCAGATGTTTTATGATGCTCCCGTCTCTAAGCTCGACATTATCACTCCAGTTCGGCGATCTCCCTTTTACTAAGTGGGCGACAGCACATTTGTCCAACCCAAACTCCATGCCGACTGCACTGGTATACCCGGAAACAACCTCTAGGGCTGTTCGGAGTCTCTCAGGACTTGCCGCGTACGCTTTCAAGTCATCCATATAAAATAGATGTGTGACTTTGTATACGCGGTTGGAGACTCGTCCGGCTTTATATCCAGGCGTTCGGCGTAGAGTGACAGATAATGGCAGCAGTGAGATGCAAAATAGAAGAGGACTCAGGATATCTCCCTGGTATACGCCTCTCCTAAATGGTACTGCTCTAGTAGACACTCTTGTTTCACCAGATGTTACGGTGAAACGTATCCTCCAGAGCGGCATCAGATGTTCGATGCATCTCACTATTTGTGGGGGTACTGAAAGGCATTCGAGAAAGTAGAGGAGAAGCTCGTGTGATGTTGTATCAAATGCCTTTCTGTAATCCACCCAGGCCATTGACAAGTTGCGCTTGTAGTAGTATGTGCCCATTGTGACGCATCGGTCTACTAGCAAGTTCTCCTTGCAACCTGTCAAGCCACGCTTGCTGCCACGTTGTTCGTTTATCTGTCTCCATACAGGTTCTATTGCAGTCAAAATCCTCTCGTTCAAAATCTTCGTAAACAATTTGTAGAGGGTATTTAGACATGCAATAGGCCTGTAGTTTTTGGGGTTGAACAGATCACCACTTTTGGGGATCAGCACAGTACGCCCTTCAACGAGCCATCCAGGAATGGGTGTATCTCCTCCCAGGTATTCTGAGAAGATACGAGCCAGATGCTGGTAGGATGACGTCAATTTCTTCCACCAGAAGGTGGCGATTGCATCTGGCCCAGGGGCAGCCCAGTTCTTTGTGCCCCTTAGAGCATTCCTGATCTCATCAATGCTGACTCGTTGAAACTCTTCAGGAATTCGTGATAGATGTTCGTCACAGAATTCTCTGAAAAGTTAAAGGGCCGGAGTGTCTACATCTAGCGCACTAGCGCGACCATATATTTCGGCCTAGTAGGTTTCGACTTTTTCTGCACTCGGAGGCTCATAAGTGACAGGGGCTTGCAGCTTAAGAAAGCGCGAAGGGTCAGATTGGAACAATCTGTTGTCCCTTCGTCGCTTGTACCGCTTTGCTAATGACTTTTTAACGGCCATTAGCGATCTTATTTTGCGTGTGTACCTCTCCTTTAGGATCAGTAACACGGCCGTATTCAAAGTGTGATATTCACGTCTGAATTCTAAGATAAAAAAATAATATTTAACAATAAATAATTTATTATTTACACATACCAGTATAACAAATTATATATAATTCAACTTATTGGTGTTTAAATAATACGAGTTTTGTATATTTTTGTCTTATAAAAGGGAGATCATAATCATGGTCGGCTTCAAAATTGAAGTTGAGATCGCTATATTTACCTATGGGGTTGTTTATATTTTTTTGCTGACAACTAATATGGAGAATACCGATACCATCGAACAAACAATTCCCATTTTTAAATTCTTTTCATTCATGACGAATAAGAAGACGTTTATATGCACTTATAAATTGTAAGGCATTTGGGTTATTATTAAACCCACCACGGCTCCGAATAGCGCTAAAAAATGTTTTCAAGTAATCTTGAGATAACTTGTATGTTAACAGGTAATTGAGTCCTAAAGTTTTTAGTTGCTCAAAAAACGGGAATATATTCCTCAGTCCTATAATCATACCAATGAAGCCCGTTTTCCGATTACTTTGTATAATTTTTTGGTCATTAACAGTTTGTAGAACATTAATGTACTCTTCACAATTTTTTGCTGCATATTTGAATTTGTCTACATTTGCATCATTTAATGGAATATTCAGGGTGTTCTTGGAGAATTTATTTTTACAATTTACTGTTTACAATACTTGTAAAATACTTGTTGTACCTTGTCATTATTGATATTTTTAAAAAAAAGTAAAGAACAATATATACTGTTACTCAATGTTTGCATTGCCAATTTAACATTCATCTTATAATTTTGATACATAAAAAATATGTTTGTTTGTTAGTTTATTGGCTAATCTTAAGCCTTCTTCTGTCTGTAATTTAAATAACTATTAAATATAACTCCAATCCACTTCATCTTCGTCAGCAGTTTTTAATACTTTTAAATTGCCTAACGTATTATGTACTAATTTAATCATATGACATAAATCATAAAAAATATATCACGTTTCATTTAAAAAAGGATTAATAAAGTAAGGTTTAAAGTTTGGACCATATATTAATTAGCACCTAGATTACTACACATGCTAATGTTTGATGCAGCTCCATCGAAACGTTATTGAATGAACTTTTCAATCTATTTCATGCAATTCCTTTAGTGCTAACTTTATCAAATTAGCTCTTTCCTTACTATCCAGTAAACGAATTGAAAAATAGCCTATTGGGACTTTCCAACTATCATTTAATGCAACAGCCATAAAGACTAATGCATTGGTTGCATGTACTGCATTATCATTTTGATAATCATGGTCATCTCCGAAGTCAACGCAACCATGAAAACGTCCTTGCTGATAAATCAATTGTTCACGAATAGACATTTCATCTATAACTAAATTAGTTACAACGATCTTCTTTTGAGTTCGCAATTTAATAGCTTCTAATGCTTCAACTGTCAATCCCGGGGACCCATTAACTGCACGATACCATGCTCTCACAGTAGATGGATTCGGTAAATTATTATTAAACATTTTTCTCACGTAATTATACGCTTTTAATGAGTAAAAATGCAGCGTCATGGCATAATTCCAGATTTTTGGGGTGTACTCTCCCTTCACTTTAGCCTTGAACGGAGTCTCATTATCACCTGTTATCATAGTCTGTTAAATACAAATATTTCAATGTCAGCTTTATAATTTTTATATTAGTGTAAAATATAATTACAAAAGAATCTCGCTGCTCATAGTTACACTTTATCGTTGCGATGTATGTGCTATTTGCAGGTTTATTCTATTTGCGTTTCTTGAGCGTTTGTTCTTGGCATATAAATGGTCAGATGTATCGGTAACGCCCTATAATATAGACATTATAACATCCTGTTTCTGTAATGTATACTATTAAAATAATTAAAAATTATACTATACCAGCAAAGCTTCTCCAGTTACATCAGTCACCATATTCTTTTTTTTTTAAGTGTGCAACTATTTCCTCCAATGAACATATTCGTTTCTCTAACTTTCTTTTACTAATATGTAAAATTAAATGTCTCGATAACGAATTTATATTATAATATTATATAATAAAAAAATTAAATACACCCAATTAAACTTACTTGTGTAAAGAAATTCGATCACCTTTTGATGCTTTGCGTCGGCATATATAGCATGTCAGGCCCATTTTTCTTAATGTTATGCACAAAACTACACTCACAGGTACTTATTATTCAAATAATATATTATTTATTTGTATAAACGAATAATTAAAATCACTTGGTAGTAAAAAAAAAATATAAATAACCTCTTAGTGAACACACTTCACGAACACGCGGGCTACACGTGAGTTTATTTGTACACGTAAATATTTATAAAAATAATAATAATTATTAAAATTGAATTGATGTTGAAATGGCTTGGAAATTAAATATAAATAAAAAATTTCAATATTTAAATACTATACTTATTAATGAGGTCAATTAAAATACATAAAAAATTGGATGTAGCATGTAAAACAGACGCTATTTTATATGCAAAATGACGCTATCCTATTTGCAAAGGACACTTTCTCATCCCTTGTACAAATTGAAATGCTATCTAATGCGCATGCTCTATTCACGATCATACGCACAAGTCACAGCGTATAATAAGTTTGACAAACGCATATATGTCTGCACCGTTATGCTTAAGTTTCCCTCCCTATACCGAATAGCAATATAGGAGTATTACATATATGGATTATGGACACTCCGAACACGCCGAGTGCAAGACGCGTTAGCGACCACCGACCAAATCGGATAAAGTTGGTACTACGGGAGGCTAAATTTCAAGCCCTGTCCCTAGGGCTGCAAAGTCGAAATATGACAGGTAGAGTACCGGACATAAATGCTGTGTGATTTTCTATAAGACGGTATAGGGAAATCGTTACGTGTAGCCCCGTGCCTGTTTTAATGCGCAGGTATACTGCTGAATTTTTCACAATTACTAAAGCAATGGACATAACCTTAGCTAACCCTAATAAAAACTTTGAAATTTGCACTGACTCTCCAAGTGCAATTACAAGTTTATAAAGTCCTAAGTATGACGTTAGAATAAATCCTTCTATCCTCAAAATCACTAAAAAGTACAATCAGTTCTTCACTCTAACAAATAATGATAACAATATAAAATTTTTTTGAGCCCCATCACATAATAGAATCGGAGGAAATGAAAATGCAGACGACTTGGTTAAAATTGTTAACAGATCTTCTCCAAGCCATTCCAGCTGTCTTCTCTTTACGGACCTCCGTGAGTTTAATGCGCTCAATCCTTGTGTATTACTGTATTATTTGATCATGCTAAATAACTCTTCACATAAAGAAATTTCGGCTTAAAAAAAAGAAAAACATCCCGCTGGAAAATTATTGATTGTTCTCAATCGTCTTATTCTATTTTATCACCCAGTTTTTTATTCAAATTTCTACTTTTATTTCCTACAAAAACCATTTACTTTTTATAAAATCGCTAACTTCGTTTTTTGATCATCATCAAGTTGTGTCAATAGAAAAGTGCTGAAACCTTGAGTTTTGCGATTACCGTTTAAATTCCTATTTAGGTTTGAATAATCCTATGAGACATTTTTTGAGTGCAGAGATTTCTTAACTTTTCCTATTCAAATATGGTATTTCTTATTTAAATTTTAGAAAAGCCTATAGGATTTACCTTTCTTAATAGGAACGTTGAAACAGGATACGTTTGTGCGCACAGGGTTCGGTTCATTTTTTTCGTTAACGATATCTTCAAAACTAATTGAGATATCTACTCCGGACCATTTAGATAAAGAATGCGACAAAAGGAAATAAAGACGAGTTTAAACAGAAGCAGTCGATTACTTTTATTGTTTAGGTTCTTTTTTCATCTCGCAAGTAGTTAGTCCTACAGTAAAAAGATAAAATACTTCTTTGTAGAAAATTTAATATTATTTCTTATTATAATATACATAAAAAAATAGAATTATTCATTATTAATAATGTAAAGTAATTTGTCCCGAATCAATTTATATTTTAACTTTTCTCATTTCTAAATAAAAATGTTCCATATAATCATATAAGATTCCATACGATCATATATAACTGGCCTCTGTAGAACTTGATTAAAGAAATAAAATCATAGAATTAAATACAATTATATAGAATCTCACATGGTCACATATAGTCTCAAAAGGTCTTTATACAGCTTTATCTCTTCTGGGTAAGCATTAAAATTCGATGAAACTCTTTATAAGCATATGCGATTAGATAGATCAATTCATTATTATGAGTCTTTTATTATTACTATTATTGTATTGCATCCGAATACGTGTGTAATGTCTGAGTGTATATCAATTATTTTACATAATTATTTAAAATATATTTTGAGAGAAGCTGAAAATAAATAGCAATAAAACTTAAGGACTGAGGTTAATGATTATTACTTAAGTTTTTTTTTGAGTTTTCCTAAGATTTTGTTAAAATAGAAAATTCTTTCCGAAGAATAGTTGAGAAAACCATTTTTTAGACATTTTATTGCTTTTGTAAAACCCACGTGGTGAAAAAGCAATAAAACTTTAAAAAAAGAGTACGTAACGTAAGAAGAGCGTTAGCTTTCCAAAAAAGAAAAGGACCATGCGAAGGGACTTGTGCGCACCTGAAGCAAAGGACTTCTAATTATGTCACATTCGCCTAAATAAATACGTAAGGTTTGATGCATCAGTCAGTTGTTGAAAAAGTCAGAACTCCCTATTAAATAAAGGGTAAACGTATTGCCATAAAAAAATCAGTTTAAAGAAAAGGAAATTTCAATTCGCTCCAGAGGTTTTTTGTTTATACGGATTTAATACTTAAATATATAGCTGAAATAAAACTAATTGAAAACTCCGAAAAAATTCTGCTGATGGTAAGATTCGATCCTGGCATTCTCGGGTCTACAGTTCACGAGGGCTACTAATAGTAGATTTTGTCAACAGATTACGAAAAAAAACAAAAGAAATAGTAGAATGTTTTAAAATAAATAATTCGACTGCTACTGTGAATGAAATACAAATTTATAGAGACAATACTGATAAAGCCGTAGCCCAATGTTCAGTTCAAAATTTAAGAAATAAAATAGATCAACGAATGTCTCGATGTGACATCGTCACTGAGCTTAGAAAAAGCAATAGAAATAAAAAGACGATTAATTGCGTGAAAAGAAATTTGTAAAGACCCAAATAGTGCAAAAATTGAAAAAAAAGAAGGTTAAAAAACACCTGTCAAGTTTGTAACTAATAAACAAAATAGTGATCAAGATAAAAGTTCAAATAATAATACTCAAGTAAAGCCAAAAGTTATTTGTCATTCATGTAATAAGCCCGGTCATATAAAGAAAAATTGTCGAAAAATAAACAATAATAATTAAAAAAAAATTGTCAGCTATGTAATAAAACTGGACATACTGCTAAAAATTGTTTTATAAATCCAAATTTTATGACCAAATTTTGTAAAAAATCTGGTCATGACATTTCTAGTTGTTGGCGTTTTGAAGCTAAAAAATACAATGAACAGGACAACTCGAATGTATCTCACTAAATTGACACGGGGTCAAAGACACTTCAAAAGCGTCCGGTGACGTTGACTTCCGAGTAGGAAACGGAAATCGAGTACTAATCATGAGCGTGAAATTAGAAAATTTAAACGATCTACCGTATATTATTGTTTCTGTATACGTTCTGCTTTTAAAATAACGTACATTAAAAAAAGTGCATTTACTTTCTATACACGGAATACGTATTATCTGTTGACAGATGTACTCGGATAAAATAGGCAGGTAAACTCGGAACTGAATGAAATAATTTTTTGTGCAAAACATACAAGTAATTCAATCATTTTAAGTCATTTGCAAATTTTTCAAGTTTTAAATGAGCTATTAATTTTAATGAATTTATGAATTTATTTATTAAAGAAAATAAATATTAATTTGAAAAAAAAAAATTTATTCATTTTGTAACAAGCGATTAATTCACAAATTTTAATTGAAATTTTATTAATGTAATTTATACAATTTAAGAATAACATTAACATTCTAATTAAATTAAGTTGAAACATTTATTTTTAAAAATCCTTTTGTTTTATTTGCATTTTTTGTAATAATGCTTGCATTTCTTGAGCTATTATTAATTTGTCAATGCTTTCTAAACCAGCCTTCAACGTTGGAAGGTTCTAATTTAATAGATTTTTAATTTTTTTAATTTCTGAGTTTATTTTTTGTTTATTTCCATTAATTCCTTTTTGCTTGTTTCAAATCTTTATCGATTTTTTGCTCTTTTTCTTTTTTAATCTTTCTTCTCTTTTTTAAAATAGTTCTAAACTTTTAGGAGAAATGAACGTTCTTTCAAGTAATAACAAAAGCTTTTGGTTTTCATTAATTTTGACACTTTCATTATCAATAACAGTTTTATTATCTGCAGAAGTAGCACGTGAACTTTTTTTCTTTTTTAAAATATTATAGTTTACTGCGTCAGGATTAAATGGGAATAACGCACGAGCCTTAAATCCATTTCTAATTGATGATGAAAAATCAGAACTTTCTAAAGCCAAATTAAGAACTTCAGCAAACATACTTTTTTTAAAATTGACCACATTGTTATCAATTTTCCACTGTCTTAAAGTTGTTCGAGACACGTCTTTCAATGTGTAAAATAATGCCACATTAAGTGGTTGAATTATATGAGTGGCATTAGGGTATAATGCTATCAGTTCGATTTAGGTTTTTCGACAAAATTTATATAAAGGCAATGTAAGATGCGATACATGACCATCTACATATAAAATAATTGGAAATGTATATTTATTTTGTTTCAACCATTTAAAAAACACATTTGTAATGTAACTGTAAAAACTTGGTCCATCCATCCAACCGCAATCCGAATTGCCTACACCCCAGCCTTTGGATATTCGTTTTAAAACTTC